CAGAGCCTTGTGTTTAAAAGGTGTTAAAAGTGTGTTCAAATTTGAGAAAATTTCTAGGTTATCATTACTTATCACCTTATACAGTGAATTTAAAAAATGGCCTCTGCACAAATATAAGTTTCACTTTGACATTCAGCTTTTAGTAAAGCTTTCTGGTGTTACAGTTTCATTTGTTTCCTTCTCTCTTTCTTGCTGCGACCTCAGCTCCCATATGGATCAGATCAGTTCTGAGTGAGAGCAGAGTTTAAGGGATTGCTTGTAAGTTTGATTAATTTAGTAATGAAGGAAGCTGCACAAAAAAGGAATTTTGTTATAGTAGAACAGTATATTTGGCTTTCACCATGATTAAAATGAATTCATAAAAATATTCATACATTGAAAAAAGCCAATATGAAAATAAAAATATTTTTATCATAACTCCAGTCCATCAGAATATAATCAGCATATGTATTGATGGGGTTTATTAACTGGAAGTCTTTTACTTTTCCATATTGTGATGACAGATGCTTTTACAGTTGATATGAATGCATTCAGAAACATTTCAGACTGATTGGACAAAGCCACAATTGTCTCATAACCTAATTCACTAAGTGAAGGTGTTTTGACTCTTGATTCCAATTTCTGCTTTTGCCTCTTTATGGTAAAAAGAATTTGAAATTCCTTTGGCTTAGGAATAAAGGACATTCTGCTTCTCAATGAAGTAGAGTGGTTTGTTCTTAACAGCATGAAAAGAAACATCTGTGTTAATGCTTGGTGAAAGTAAAATGGTATGCTTACAGTACTCATCATTTTATCAATAGACTTGATATCAAGTTCCAGCTTTTTTCCTGTGGTATTAAGTGTTGTGCAGTACATGTTGTTCTCCTTTCCTTTCCATCCCATATATTTCATACATTCTTACTTGTATTTCTTGTCTTTAATGCATCATTTTAAAAGAAATAGCTGTAGCATGATAGATATTGTTCCTTCGTTCCTTTTTGGTAGGTTCTGAATTTATTACTTTGAAATTTAATCCCTGAGCCATGCAAATAAATTGCATGTGCTTGCCTCATCCTACCCTATAAGAGTAAATCCTTCTCCCTTTCAGAAGTATCTTGGGAAAGAGAAGACATAAAAAATACATTAATTTTGGTTGTTTTTAAAGAAGAATGTCAAAACCTGAATTTGGTATTCTTACTGTGATACCACTGTTCGCACGCAACCTAAGTAGGTCAGCAACAGAAGTTTTCAGTAGATATTTTTCATTTTAGCATTTTCTTTCATTTCAGTGAAAATTTCTTCCCCTGGTCTTCCATGGAGGGGCAGGGGGGAAAATGTAGTTTGCAGTCTAAAAGGGGAAGCCTGATGCAATATTCCGTAATTCACCCAACACAAGCCTTTAGAAAAGCCTAGTTTATTGCTATCTAGATGAAGTATTATGCAAATTGTATGTTCAGGCAACATTTTGGAAATTCTAACACAACTAAAGCAGCTTTGTGCTTATGCAGAATTTGCTTCAGGAGTAGTTAGAAGTATTTTTTCATATTTATCAAGAATAAAATTCAGGTTTAGAGATGTATTTTATGCAGCTGCGTTCTAGATAGAGTAAAGGTATATGTACACCAATAATCTTGCTTCGTAAAATAGTAATGAACTGCAATTTTACATTGTTTTATTGTATATCTGTATGCTGTTTAAAGTGATACTAACTATAGGTTTGTTTTAATTTGCTCCTTTTATACCTTTTACAAGCTTCCATAGTGACTGTAATACACCTTGTCAATGCTGTTGTTGACTCGGTGGAAAAAGAAGGTATATACATGTTTTAATATTTATTTACTCCTTTTGCAGAATAATGCACGTTTGTCTTCTAGTAATGTAGTCCTAGCAGATGGGAGTTCTAAAATATTATTTACTTGGAGTTTCTGATAAGTTTTAGCAAAGAGTATATTTATATTGTATGTCTGTTCATATTTTCGTGTGTATGCTGTAGCTACCGTGGCTACCCTGTGGACAGGTTTCAAAGTGTGATTGCTTGGAAGAAAAAGTATTAGCATAAAAATATCTTGGTGCTTACTCTCTTCTGAAATACTCACACTAAAGCTCCCAGCAGAATTGAGACAGCATCAAAGCCAATTACATACACTACAGTAGATGTAATTGTAGTATAGTAGTACAGCAGACCCACTTCCTTTTATTCTCCCACCCACATCTGTTGGCACCTTGTCCAGCTGAGCAGAATGGGAATAGTCTGAAATCAGTACTCACTTCCCTGGTCTTCAGCTCAATCTGTCTCTTTAAGAGAAAAAAAAAATTTCTGGTATGCAGTTGAGGTATACAGGCATACACATCCCTGTCAGTTTAAGTAGTTACTGCCCAGCCTTAATCAGTATCTAAAAGGTATGTTTGGGCGCCTATATGTACACACACGTATATTTGTGTGTGTGTGTACGTAGTATATATGTGGAAGTTAGAAAGAGGTGAAGTAGGCATTTTCAATAGAATTTTATTTCTTTTCTGCTAACATTTAAGAACTGACCACTCTGGAAAACACAAACTTTTTACAAAATAATAGTAGTAGTAAAGGTGCCATTGAGTCTATGCAAATGCTAACTATGGTTTTAATTGACTTTAAAATCCTTAAAATTCCAGTAATATGCAAGTAATTCACTCCACAACAATGAGTCTGCAGAGGTTACTTCTGAAATAACATCCACAGTGTATGTTTCCAATTTCTTAATTAAAGAGTAAGGTTTCCTATTCTGTATTAAGTCCTATTTAAAACAAAGCCATTTTAAGGACAAGAAATTAATTACAGGAGCTAAAGATTCTCTTTGGTTTGTTATTTGAAGTACATCCTGTCTAGTGTATGCAGACACACAAAAAAGTAGACAAATGCAAAGACTTATAATTAAATGAGAGTATTTCCTTAATACGTACCTAGAGACCATAGTCCTCAGTGCTAAAAAATTGTGATGAGAAGTATTTATGAGACTCATAACAATAGAAGAGGCTAAATCTATTGGGGAAATACTTAATAACTTATTCAGATTTTCTCTGAGATTTTAATTGGTAAAAACTGAAAATGGTGGATGTAGTTCTCAAGTCAAAGTATTGAAAATTATCAAGTTGAAAGTATTGCTTGGTGGTTTAGTATCACTGTAAGATAAATGCAAGTATTTTATGCATTGCAGAATATTCATAGAGAGATTAAAGAAGTCCTGCTCAGCTACTTTTTAACGCTTGAAAGTTTCTACTCTTAATAAGCATTCCTTCTTTCAAAGCATCTTAGGTAGAGTTCTGCTTGTCAGCACCCTCAGGAGGGTGCCACTTCGAGCAGCAGAGATCCTTGCTTAAGCCTTCAGCAAGGTCAAGTTCTGGGACAGATGGGCTTTTCCTTTAGTCTACCCAAGCAGTTCTGTCCAACAGGTATCCTGGAAGCATGAACTATAGCTAGTCTCATCCTAGGGCAGCTCTAGGCCTGCGTATCCTGCACTGCTCCTCAGGGAAGGTTGTAGCTCCAAGCAAATTGACAGCAATGACTGCAAGAGGAAATAATAGCTCCAGTCTAGCAGATTGTCAACTAGAAAGATGGGCACATCAGGTTCTAGTTTGTGTATCTGTAGTTTACATTAAAGGGTCTTTGCTTTAAAAGCAGAGGACAGGACCAAGATCTCCCCATCCCTTGGTAAAAGTGCTCTAAATTATAAGGCCACAGTCTGCTTATTGGCTTTAGTTTTGCACCCAATTTCCCTAGAAAAATGAAGAATGTTGTCTTCTAAGTAGATTAGTGGTCAGAACCTTCTCCTGGAAATGAAGCCAGAGATGTTTTAGGAGTCTTGGATCACAGATAATAATGGACTGATATCTTCCTCCTTTAGTGTGGAGAGTATTTTTCTTGTCTGGGCTAGGCAAGCTTAAAAAAAAAAAAAGGAAGGAAACCCTTCCAAGAGTCAACCTCTGTCCCTCCAGTCTTCCAACAATAGATAAATTATAAAGTTTTTAGGAGAAGATTCTGGTATTAGGATAGGCATCACCAGTTCTTATAGACCTGAATAGGGAACATAGATTCCTGAAGAGAGAAAGGTTTAAAGTTTGTCAGGTAACACAGGACACTTCTCTGCTGAGCCTGAGTTAGTTGTTGGGATTGCTGTACAAAGGGAGACAGGTCTCCCAGTGCACAGTGTTCAGTGCTAGATACTAAAGGGGGAGTTCCCATCTTTGCATGAGATACTTCAAAATGTAAGTCCTAGTAGATGAAGCACTGTTTTGAAAACCAAGGGGATTAGAAATATTTAAAAAAAAAAAAAAAATCAGAACAAGTCTTGTTACACTTTTTAGTGAAAGTCCTAAATCTGCTGATACAAGGATTTCAGCAAATTACACACTGCAGATTTTGCCACTACACAGAGGTGTCCCAGTCGGGCTGTACATTAACTCAGTAGCTAGTCTACAGTCAAGTCTAACAAAGAAGCAGCTCAGGAGGAAAAAAACATCAGTTTTAGTACTGCTAAGTAAATCGGCATATTTTGCCTACTAAAAGTGGACAAAAGCAGTATGAATATCAGAGTGCCGGTCATTGTTTGTCTTCACATCAGATCTACTATTTGATTCCTAACTACAGATGTTTTCTCCTTTTTCTTGTCATTCTGCCACCTAAAGAATCTTTTGCTGTTCCCGACCTCAGCAATTCAAGAGGTGACTTCTGCATGCAGTTCATTGATGTTCACCAAAATATTTCTGTTAATACTTGGTTTTAACACAGACTTACTATCAGTTGCTTGCTGTGCATTTGTCTGCAGTGATCACTCTTTACTAGATTTGCACCTTATTACAATTCTGTAATAGTTTCCTCTTTGGCGTTTAGATGAGAAAAACAATTATTTTTTAAATGAAATTAGGCTTCCATCTACAAACTTATTCAAGGGGAATTTGCAAGAGAGGATCAAGTTCGGTCATTTATGCATGATTAAGCTTGATTTTCCTGTTTTGTTCTTGTATTTGAATGTGGAATGTCTTTACTAATATTCAGAGATTTTTATCAGAGGTGTGGCAGTTACTGTACAGCTAACAGCATTTTTTGAAGTTAATTTTACAATTCACTTAAGGGTAAAGTCACTTTAAATGGTCTGGATACTTTACCAAATAGAAATTACTTCTTTTATGTAAGAAAAAAGAAAAGCATGGTTTATATATGCTATGTATATTCTTAAGATAAGCAGACAGCTGTTAAGACAATAATTACTCAACAACAATTAAGAACTTAGCTGCACCAGGGAGGCTGTTGGTTCTTTGCTATCCAGTGAACAATTCTATGCCATTATGTATTGTGACAACACATTCCATAGGTGGCCTACAGCTCTTCCCATATTAGGTGAGATGTCTGAGAAAATGTAAAAGTTCAAGTGTGAATGATGCAATATCTAATGCATGGCATAATGTAAAGTTGTGTTGAATGTCTTTTGTGGAGCCAGGGCAAACCGCTCTCTAATTAACAAGTAGTGTCCTAATCACAGTGATTGCATTGTCTTAATACATGTGTTGACTTCTCAGTTCAGATTGACTTGAAGACAAGATACTAATACTCTTTTTTTAAAAAAAACCCAACCTTTTCAGGTTATCACTGGGATACATCAGATTGGATGCCGAGCGTTCAGTTGCCAGGTATCCAAGAGTACCCAAATTACGAAGTGGTTGAGGAGCCAGCTCCCCTCTACACGGATCCAAATGCCATCGATACAGACTATTACCCTGGTGGTTATGACATAGAAAGTGATTTTCCACCTCCACCTGATGACTTCCCTGCACCTGATGAGCTTCCACCGTTACCACCAGAATACAGCGACCAGTTTGAGTCAATACAGCCACCCAGAGACATGCCAGCCGTAGGTAGCTTGGGTTCTTCTACAAGAAGCAGGCAGAGATTTAACCTTAATCAGTACCTTCCCCATCACTATCCTGCAGACATGTCAGAACCTCAGACCACAACCAGCGGTGTCAACGGCAGTTACAGAGAACCTTATGCTCCTTACACAGTAGGGTACAATAGAGACTTTGAAGCACCCACTGTAGACAACATGTCCATGTCTGTGTATGCTTCCACAGCTTCATGCTCTGATGTGTCAGCATGCTGTGAAATGGAGTCTGAAGTCATGATGAGTGACTATGAGAGCGGAGATGATGGTCATTTTGAAGATGTGAAAATTCCTCCACTTGATTCCCAGCAACATACAGAAGTCTGACACACTCAACAAAGTGCCTAGACTCTAACAAACTTTGTCAGTTCTAGAACAACTTTCAAGAGCTTTTTTATTTTTTCCTTTTTCCCCAGCCACAGTGATTGCTTTTGTTGCAGTGAGCTAAACTGGCATGGCAGCATTGGATCATGCAGTTCACTTCACTAAATCAGCCTATTTCCATTTCCTGACCTACTGTAATTGGACAGTTCCAAGATTTCCATTGGCTATGCCATTTCTGAACATCCTTTTTCTACTTACATTGTCTATGTTAAAAAAAAAAATCACATACCACTTCTCCATGTTAGCATGATGCATATATTTATATAGTTCAAATGCAATTAATTTTCTCCTACTTTTTGTAAATTTTATGTACAGTTTTGATTTTAATAGTTTTAACTAGATTTTGTAGATATTTTGTGAATTTGTTTTCCACTGAAACTAGTGGTGTTAGTGTGCCATTAAAAACCAGCACCCTGATTTATTATAATCAGGGCATCACTGTATGTATTCCCCTGAAAATTAAGGTTTGACATTTCATTATAAAATATTCAGCATATTCACAAAATTCCAATTGTACATAGGTTAGGCCTGATATTTTTCTGGGTCAGCTACATGGAAATGTCTTAAATGGGTTGCTGTATTTTAGAACTGTAAACATTTTTTCCCTTCTTGGAAAGTGTGTTGGGGACCCTCTAAATACCAGTTTAGTACCAAAACCACCATGACACAGTTTTTATAGTGTCTGTATATTTGTGATCCAATGGTCTTGTAAAGGTTTTTACTGAAAATTACCATTAGCCAGTCTTTCTTACTGACAATAAATTATTAATAAAATACACTTTAGCTTTGCTCTGTGTATCTCTATTACATAATATACAATTGACAAAGCATTCAGTGCAGCATTTTTAAGTGTATATGTTTTGTACTGTATTAAGTTACTTGCTCCAAGCAACATATTTTCCTCTCCTCAGAAATCAAACTGCAGCTATGTTAGAGATGCTCACTAGATGGCAGTGTCTGTCTGCGTAATGGTGTTTTGAAAAGTAATCGGGCCAGTATGAATAAAGATTGATGGGTATCAAACTTCAGTAGCCTTCTCGGTAGTTTGCATTTTTATTTAAACATATATCAGCTACGTAAATTACTGAGTATTTTTTCTGAAGTCCCAACAGTACATGCACAAAAAAAGCCCAAGCTCTTTATAGCAGTTTCTTCCTTTCTTGATCACCTGAATAGTTATTTTCATTAATAGTTGTCCCTTGCTTGCGCACTTGCATGCTGACATTTCTGTGACAGTGTGTGATAAGCACATTGGGGTTTTTATGCTATTCTATTTTAGTTTCTTGCCTTGAAGAAGTCAAGACAGGATAGTTTGCCTGCATATTATCCAGCTGCTTTTTCTGACTAGATAAGAATAAAGCCCCTGGCAAACTTCTCAAGCGTAAGTTTGCCCTGATGGTAAGCTAAAGGAATAAGATAACCATCTTCTGCCTCTTGCATGAGGGACACTGTCTAAGTTCAGAACAGATGTCCTGGCACATCAGTGAATTTTTAATACAGCTTGGACTCATTTCAGCTCCACTTCCATTTTACTACTGTCTCATAAAATTCTGTAGCCTGGAAAGGTACAAGACCAGATTCTCTCAGACACAAGAGCTAAGCCATCTGGGGGTAACAGGGTACTAGATTTGTATTTGGACCATTATTTATGCACAAAATGGAACAACAGCCAGCCTAGCAGCTGTTCAATGGAAATGGATGGATTACAGGACAGAGCCAAGAGCCAGGCACAGACATTCCTTAATATGCAGGTAAATCTCATGACTGACTTACATAAAAAGGCTAAAGTCGGTGGGCTTAAAAACACGTTCTGTCTGTAAGCTGCAATAGTCACCCTGATAACAAAGAGCTTTTTGTTAGCATTTTCTTATTTAATAGCTTTAAAATAATCTTACAGAACTGTGAGTAAAGGGTATTGTGCACTACTGTCTGTAGTGGTTAGGCATACAACTGCTTAAGGTCCATCCTGAGCTTGAAGGTTAAGCTTACTGGCAGTTCTGCTCAAGATTTCTTAATGTCTGCTGCTCAGTCGGAATGGACCTCAGAGTGAGCAAGACACTACACAGACATGCATAATTTCTCCATTGATAAGGACTCCCAGTAAAGATGAAAGCCTGCCCTACAAATACATTTTCTTAAGTTACTCATTTACAGCAGAAAGGTCTGAAAACAGATTTTTAAAATTGACAAGTGCAAAGGACGGGAATATGGACACTTAGGTATTCTTTTATTCATAGTACTGTGAACTGAAGGCGAATGTAGAACATCATGCTGAAAAGGAACAATGTCTCTACTCTGCAAAGGGAGTCCAAGTCAGCTTAAGAAAACCTTTTGTTGAAAGTATCAGAATATATATATTTTTTTCTCTTCACAAGAAGTGTGCTGCTAGGCAACATGCAACCCTCAAGTTATACTTCACAACAGAAGACAAGAGGGCATCATTGCAGTCACTTACAGAGATAACAAGCAGTTTCAACCTCACAACAGCTTTGCAGTTGGTGAGTAAAGCAAGACCATGTTGAACAAATGCTCCCTTTGTAGAAGTACAAGGAGCTATTACTACCTAATTCAAGTCCAGAAAGTGCTATTAAACCCCTTTTACCACAGAGAGCTACAATAATACACAAGACCAAGTTGGTGACATTTTTAACCCCATTGAAACACCCATACAGCAGAGCATTTCTGTCTGACTAAACAGTAGTCCAGTACATTAAAAAGCATTGGCTCCTGACTGAGCCTTCTGTTTTCCAGACTGAACAGTCCCAGCTCTCTCAGCCTGTCCTCATATGAAAGGCTCCAGTCCCTTATCATACTGGCCCTTTGCTGGACTCATTCTAGTTAACTCCCCATCTTTCTTGTACAGAGGAATGTGCAAGTCATTTTTTCTATTTTGAAATACTTATGAGCTAGTAGAATTTAAAGTTTTATTGAGCAGATTTGAGTCAAACTCATTGCTGTTCTGTCCAGTCTACATTTTATTTGGAGTGTATGAAATGACATCACTTTGCCTTGGAGCAGAGGACAAACTACAGTTCTACCTGATGAATAGTATTTGAAGTAGAAACAACAACAGAGGATGCTGTAAAGCTGCTGTCAGTCAATATTTAACGCACAGCTAAGCCTGAGAACTCCAGGATAGAGGCATACACTTACAAGAAGAAACATGACCAGGGAGTACCAGGTTTTGGCTCCTCCTCCATGGATATTTACTCAGGTGTTATTTTGGTATAGAATACACCTTAGATTGTTTGTCCTCCATTCCCTGCTCTGCCCATTGCCTCTGTCAAGCAAATACTGTCCTAAGCAACCAAGTCTAAGGAGAGTTCCTGCACTGCCCAAGGGATACAAATATGAATCCCCTCAAGCCAAAGAAGGTATCAAATCAGTCTCTTAACTACAATACACAAAACACAAGGTCCACCTTTTATGGGGGGTGAAGGGGAATACTAGGTGAAGGAGACATGCACCATCTTTGCCTTGAAGATGGTTGCAGGGATTAGTCTATGCTCTGACAGGGGTGCTGACTGACACCTGACTGCAGAGAGAGACTGCTGCATATGTGCAGTTCACCAGGGTGCCTAGGATGACTACACCTTTTATTCACAAGCTCTGTCCAGATGACAGTTCTGCACACCAAACAGCAGCTTAATGCCACGCCAAGGTACCCAAAGCCTCTGCACAAGGAGTCTACGTGCTTCAGAGCAAACTTCTCCACACACTCCATGCACAAAAGTCAGACAGCCAAGAGACTGGTGCCTCAGTTTCTTTTCATAGCTCTTGTCAGTTTTTAGCATTAAGTGGCTTTCAAGCCCACACAAGCCTTCATAAACATATCAGGAAGACCAAGTCCCATTAAACCAAGCACCCTGAAGCAGACAATTTTTGGCAGCATTACTCATTTTTCCCACAGCTGGGAGGGTGGTGGGGGAAAAGAATGGGAGAAATCAGAGAGTATCCAGAGATTATCATAAACTTTTGTTTAAAATAAAGCTTATTAGAATTATTTTCCCCTCATGTAAGGTAAATAAATTTCTGAAATTGCTGATAATCAAAAGCTCTACTTGGATTACCAATGCCCAAAATCCACTGCTAGATCTGACCCACAGAAGTACTCTGTTCATAACAAATTTAATAAAACTTCACACACAAAACGTTAGGCATTTTCAGCAGTCACAGAGGAGTCAAAGCTATCAGTAAGAGCATGACATTATGACCAATTTAACAAGAACCAGCAGTTTCCTTTACAGAGTTATCAAAGCTGAGGCAATATACCTTTCTGAACTTTTTACTGCAGATAATTTCTCAGTTTCTTATTTTCTTACACATTTGGAGTAGAAACCTTCACTGTGAGGAAGCCCAATTAATGACAGTATGACTCATTCACATAATCCCTGAGGTACCAATTGGAAAACATGCTAAACAGGATTAATTGCTTTCAGAGCTTGCATTTCACTTCGAAGAAATACATAGGAAAAGATGGTGCTGCTGCATCAAAAACTTTGTTTTCTAATTTCATATCTTTTTTAGAGAACTTGGAGCACTGACAGTAATTTATAGCACAAGAGTTCAAATGCCTCCCATTTAAACAATATCTTGCGATGGCCATATAGATAATAGGAACTTCTGCTTTGAGTTTCACTGTGGGGTGGGAAAAAAGACTCCAACTCACAGAGAAAATGCTAAAAATGTAATTAGCCTGATAATCAGAGCTTGATTTTACACATGGAGCTTTTTTGTTTTAAAGCCAAACACTGAAATTTCACAGAACTCGCCTCCAAAAACTCGGTGTAGCTGTTCAGAAGCACCTAGAAAGAAGAACAAAACTTACTTTTCATGAGTTAGATTAAAATGTTCAAACCCACATCTTTCGCTGATTACCCACCTTGAGAGCTTCTGCTGTGAAAGCCAGAAAGCCATCTAATCTGAGCAACAGGAAAAGATAGAGACAAGAGGTGCACCCTGTGTCACAAGAAAACAGCACACAAACTCACACACCACACACACCCCTGCCAAACGCACAACAAAACTTTATCAGCTCAGAGCCAGGTGCACACAGAAGCAAAACATGAATTTTTTAAAATCAGAGGAAGACAACTACTGGAAGTAGAGAGCAGCTGAGGCAGAGAGAGGTTTTGCATTAAGTCCAAGTATACTCTAACAGCAGCTTCATAGTCTCTTAGTAGACCATGCCTTAAGTATTTTAGACACTTAAATTTATAGCCTAGAGGCTTCCTCTGATTCAGTGTGGGCTAATTCTTGCTCAGTGTGCAAGCTTTTCTGAGAGCTAGATTTGAAGCAGTGTTCTTCAAGTTAAAGTCTTGTCTTACTTTGGAGATAGCAAATTTTCTGGGCTCCCCTTAGCAGTTCTAAGAATGAAAAGAATTTCCTCTTAACAGGGCTACTAGAATCCATGTGTATCACTGTATTGCTGCCATGAATTTGCTATCAGCCACCCTAAAAATCCCACAATCAGTATTTTAACATTATGAGGAAGTGAGGCAGACTCAAGATTAAGCCTCCTCAGTCTAGTGGGGACAGCAGTTCATTTCCCCTCCACTTCCTCAGTTCTAGTTGAGGTTAATAAATCCTGTTGCCAAAACCCTGCTAAACAGTCCATAGCCACTCTGCAGATTAGCAAAATTCCCCTCCCTCTTAACCCCACCACACAAACATGCAGGAGGGAAGGCTGAATTTATATTCCCAGAAGGCAATGGTGCTCACACTTAGTATTAAAACAAGTAGAGAAAAGGTCTCACATTAAGGAGCTGACATTCAGCTCAGGCTGTACC